TTGCAATTTTTATCTGTCTGCCTGTTTATCTATTTGTTCCGTCTAATCTCTGAAATGGCTGGACCGATTTTAACCGGACTTTTTTGGCAGATAGCTGATGTAATTGGGAGTAATTTAGGCTACTTTTATTTTAGAAAAAATCTTTCATTTTAGATAAATAAAGTTATAGTAATACAATAAATATAATGTACAAGGGCGAGCTCATTGCAAGATATGCATTATAATAATAATAATAATAATCTCAGGACAATTCACACAGCGCCATCTAGACCCAAGTTAAGCTAGCTAAAGCTTGTGTTATGGGTACTAGATAACTGATATAAATACATAGATTTTTTTTTTCGTAAATACATACATATTATACATAGAAAATACCCAGACCGATACAAACAATCATACTCGTGAATACAAATGTTTGTGCCGTGCGAGGAATCGAACCCGCGACCATTGGACATAAAGCGGTGTGCTGGACCGCTATACCACCAAGGTCGTCATCGTTATGTTTGCGAAAATCGAAAAAACCATGAACCGAAATTCCCTATGTTAAATTGCTACCTTGGAATTGATCGAAGCTCTAGCAATTTTGGAAATGAGAAGTAGACTAGGAAGAGGGACAACCCTCCACCAACCCATGGCCATTCCAATCTCTCTTTATCATAAACTGCCAGAATCTACGTTAAATCTGACAGAGAGGCAATTCAAATTTTATATTAAACAAATGTTATGTAAAAAAGCCTATTATAGGATAGATGAATTTATAGATGATAGCAATATATAGCAAGTAACTTATACTTATATACTTATTTGCGGACAACGTTATAATTTATTTTTCATACTGCTTTCTTGATATATGATAGCGTAGCGGCTTTTGTATTGATTGCCGCATGCATCCTCATGTAAAGTGCGAATACTGTAACTACCATATAGTAATTTTTGTAGCTGTGACGTGGTCGAGTGGAATGAGTAGTCATGCTCACTAAAATGTCCAGACATGTGTCGGTGGTGGGCCGGGTTATTGGGCTCCCTAAAATATGGTCGAGCGCAGTGATAGCTGGCTCATCCGTCATACTCGTGAACGAGTGCTGCTTGTAGGGACTGGTCTGCTCTTATCACTACGACTGATTTAATCTTATTGCATATTTATATTTGACCCAAAAAATTAGTGCTTGTTGGTAGATTGTATACACACGTTTCGACTTGTAAATGTAAACTTACAAGGATTATTTAAAAGAGCAACACACAAGTTTCAAACAATCATATTCTATTCTATTCTATTCATCCATCTTGGCAGCACGGTTACCACCAGATCCGCAGGCAAGAGCGGCTGTCGCTTTTCTTAGAAACACCTGAGAAGTAGCGAAAGGTACTTAGATTTCTTAGTCTGTACCAAATCAAAACAGCAGCCGATCAGGGCCTATTATGCTCTCAACGTCTTAGTACAAATCTTTGTGTTATTTGGGGAACTTCAGTCGAAAGGGGAGAAGGGTATTGTTAGTGATGTGCACTGATGATCGCATTGCTAGCAATGTACCATGTCAGGTAGACCTCCACGCGGTTCCCCCTGGAAACCATCGTGATAAATTCCCTGTGAATTTGTCACAATGGGCTAATTGACCTAACTTCATGTTCATCTTATCATCCTCCACTGGTGCCCCACCAGCGTAAACCGTTAGCGCAGGCGAGTGCACCATTCCATTACCATCCCTAAAAAAACCTCAGGCGGAAGGTGACTCAGTGCTAAACCCTTGGACCACGTAGTCGTCATGGCCAGTTTTATTTATTTATCGTCCGAAATTCTAATCGTACAAGTGAAAAGTTGAAAGGCTATCGGTGTACCTGCGATAACATTTTTACGACCATTGACGACCTCGGTGGTCTAGCGGTCTAGCACACCGCTTTACGACCGATGGTCGCGGGTTCGTTTCCTCGCACGGCACAAACATTTGTATTCATGAGTATGATTGTTTGTATCGGTCTGAGTGTTTTCTATGTATAATATGTATGTATGTATTTCCAAAAAAGAAAATATCTATATATATGTATCAGTTATCTAGTACCCATAACACAAGCTTTAGCTAGCTTAACTTAGGTCTAGATGGCGCTGTGTGAATTGTCCTGAGATTATTATTATTATAACTAATCATTATTGACTCCAAATTTATGACTAGATGTGCCCGTGACTTTGTCGCGGGTTCGATTCCTCGCACATTTGTATTCATGAGTATGATTGTTTGTATCGGTCTGGGTGTTTTCTATGTATAATATGTATGTATTTACAAAAAAAAAATCTGTGTATATGTATCAGTTATCTAGTACCCATAACACAAGCTTTAGCTAGCTTAACTTGGGTCTAGATGGCGCTGTGTGAATTGTCCTGAAATTATTATTATTAAGAATTGTTTTATTTATACATTTAAAAAAGATTTCCAGCACTTTTCGTATGGATATTTATACATTGGAATAGATGTTGATAATTTAAACTTATCTTTACCGATTTGTAAACAAACAAACCACTACACCACCGTGGCTGTCAATGTATACAAATGTTTTTGCCGTGCGAGGAATCGAACCCGCGACCATCGGTCGTAAAGCGGTGTACCAAACCACTAGATCACCGAGGTCGTCGTTTAATGCCTAATTTTGTAACTTTGCATTTCCAGCTCGTGTTGAGTTTCAATTTTTTTTGATAATCACAATTATAAACTTGAAGTAATATTCGTTTTGTTATCGGCAAATGACATCTGACATTGTTATATGTTATTGATATTTCTGTCCTGTAGTTTATTATATTTACGAATCTCTCTGTCGCTAATAGATTATTTTTGTGTAATATTTTTATATGATAATAAATTATCAGAGTTCAGAACCGAGCAGCCAGAATCATTGGTAATCAACGTCTATGTGACAGACTAGACCCATTGGTTTTGCGGCGAGATAATGCATCTCTGTGCATTTTCTACCGTATATATCACGGGGAGTGTTCTGAGGAATTGTTCGGATTAATACCAGCTGTTGAGTTTCACCACCGTACCACCAGAAACTAAAATAGCATCCTGATCATCTGGAAACTTTTTGCCACGCACAACCACATTGTGGAATCACCTTCCAGCAACGGTATTTCTGAACCGATACGATATTGAAACCTTCAAGAAAAGAGCTTATTCCTTTTTTAAAAGGCAGACAATGTACTTGCAATTCCTCTGGTGTTGCAGGTGCTCATGGGCGGCGGTAATCACTTACCATCAGGTGAGCCGCATGCTAATTTGTCCCCTGTGTTATAAAAAAAAATAAATGATATTATTATTACGGATGACAAGTTCTCGCAACTTCAATATTACAAACAGACACTCCAATTTTATATATATGTATAGATTTTTTTATTTTTAAAGATACAGTAATAAAAATCTGTCTTAAATACAATTCTAAAGGTCCTGGACTAACTGTTCTAATATTTGTAGGTAACCACAAATTGCCTTGAGTTACAAGACAATAATTATAGATATACGATACAAAGAATTTAAAAAACAACTCTAATGGCCATAGTGCAATTCTTAGTAATGTTTATTTATTATATTATTACTATTTAAAAACTAAAACAAATATTAATGTTTATTTTAGTTTTTAAATTTAGTTTAAGTATAAACTGAATTTAAAAAAAAAGAAATTCAGTTGAGTTTCTTGTGCACCTCTTAGTACTAAAGTATATTCATATCAGTTTTTAAGTTTAGTTTACTTTTTAATTATAAACTGGCATTTAAAAATAAAGAAACTCAGTTGAGTTTGACGGACTGAATACTGAACTGGACGGTAGGGTAAAAATATTAACAAAAAACATTTGTGTTCATAAACGGCCAAAATGTCCTATATGAATAAATTATTTTTGATTGATTGATTGACATTGATGGATTGGTTGATTGATATCAATTAGGACTTTCTATCAGGTAGAGCGTCAAAATATTCCATTTGGGATATCAGTTGAAAGTATTTAAGTTTATTTTTTTAAGACTAATACTAAAATAGTATATTGATATTTATTTTACTAAATATTTAAATTGTTTAGTCATGTTATAGCCTTAATGTAAAAAAACCAGTCAAGCGTGTTTATTTAATTGTCTGAAGTGTTCCGTATAACAACATTTCATTACACAGTATAAAACAAAGTCGCTGTCGCTGTCTGTCCGTCCCGATGTATGCTTAAATCTTTAAAAATACGCAACGGATTTTGAAGCGGTTTTTTTTAATAGATAGAGTGATTCAATAGGAAGGTTTACATATATAATACATGTACACCCGTGCGAAGCCGGGGCGAGAACCTAAGATCTAACAGAAGATCGTTTGAAAAGAATAAGTGCTGATTTCCTTGTCACTTCCTAGCTTGATAGCACTGCGAACTGACGGTAGATTTGACATATCATAAGAGTCTATAATAAACCTACATGAATAAAGAGATTTTGATTTGATATCATCGGTACATATAACCTATTATTGTCGTAATGATAACAAATTTGATACCAACAAGCGTTAAGCAATAAAAACCAATAAAGAGGATATATCCCTCACTTTCCCTTCTAGATTTATTGTTAGTATAATAGATAGTCAGGAGGGGAAGATCAAGGCACTACATCAAACAAATTAAAGAGAAGATGGGAGTCGTGTCGTATCAAGAATTAAAGAGCATGATGGAAGATCCAACCAGAGCGTAGCTCTTAAATTATGAATGAATGAGATAATCTGTATTTCATACAGTCTATTCTCAAACCAAATTCCATTCAAAGTAATCAATTAAATAGACAGAAAATTTTTAGTTTATAATATTTATACAGATGCTCAAGTTGTAAATATAAACTGAAAGAAAATAATGCGGCACATCTGTATTCTATAAGGAATTCTAAAAAAAAACACATTAACGAAACATAATAGCTTAAATATATATATAGAGTTCATTATTTCAATTTTACTCACATTATCACTTCAACATACGTAGAATACATTTGTCAGACATGATAACGTTAGTAGTTATAGTCTTATCTGCTATTCTTTTGTATTTCTACAATACAAGAACATTCAAATATTGGGAGAAGAGAGGCGTGAAACATGACCGACCCGTGCCTTTCTTCGGCAACAACAAAGAAGGATTCCTTATACGGAAAAGCAAAGTGCAACTCAACACGGAAATGTACCACAAGTACCCCAATGAGAAGGTGGTCGGTTTCTTCAGAGGAACGAGGCCGGAGCTGATTATTAGGGACCCGGATTTGGTGAAACGTATAATGGTTACGGATTTTGGATCGTTTTTCTATCGCGGATTTGTTCCAAATAAGGAGGTCATTGAACCGGTTATGAGGAATCTGTTCATTGTTGAAGGGGATCTGTGGAAGATGTTGAGGATACGGATGACACCAGCTTTCTCAAGTGGAAAACTGAAAGCGATGTTTCCGCTGATAGTGGAGCGCGCGGAGAAGCTGCAATCCAGAACTCTGGAGGTGGTTGCGAGCGGAAAGAGTTTTGATGTCAAAGATCTGATGGCAAGATACACTACTGACTTCATAGGCGCTTGTGCTTTCGGTCTAGAATCCGACTGCCTGAATGACGAAAACTCTGATTTCAGAAAACTTGGCAGCAAAATATTCGCACCTGGTCTAGGCGACGCTTTAGTTGCGGTGTTGAAGGAAATGTTTCCAGTTTTGTGTAAAGACTTAAGGTATTTCTATAGACTTGAAGACGAAGCTAAAGAATTGTCACAGGAGATTCAGAAGGCGAGAAATTATAAACCAATCGGTAGGAATGATTACGTAGATATGATGCTAACTATCAAAAATCAGGGGAATGTGGAAATTGAGTCGATGGAGAAGAAAAAGGGGGACGGCTCACCTGAAATGGTTTCGATACAGTTTGACGATGATCTTTTTATGGCGCAGCTGATTATGTTCTTCGCAGCTGGTTTTGAGACGTCATCATCATCTTCCAGTATGACGTTACATTTTCTGGCTTATCATCCCGAAGAGCAAACGAAAGTACAAGAAGACATTGATAGAGTATTAGCTAGATATGATAACAAACTCTGTTACGATGCAGTCAAAGAAATGACTTATCTAGAAATGGCTTTAAAGGAAGGAATGAGAATGTTTCCATCAGTTGGGTTTATATCCAGACAATGTGCTAGGGATTATACTTTTGAAGAGCTAGGCTTTACAATCGACAAAGGCATAAATGTTATGATTCCAGTTCAAGCTTTACACATGGATCCTAAATATTGGGATAACCCTGAAGAATTTCGCCCTGACAGATTCCACCCAGATAGTGAAATAAGAATAAATAATGATATATACTTACCGTTTGGTAACGGTCCACGCAGTTGTGCAGGTATGTTGATGTTGTCTATTTTTTTCATGCAAAAACAGGTATTTTTTTTCGGACTACTCTAATGCTGTTGGCCGCAGCTGGCCTTTACAGCTTCACCGGACGATAGGGGGCGAGTGCAGATGACACTCCAAACTAAAGGAAGAACCATGGAGCGGATGGAGGACAACACCCCTCTGACGGATACGACTTTAGTCTGAGGGTACCGCTAGGGGTTCGAACCTCGGCTCAGGCCGTCGTAATGTCAATCCCCGTTTGATTTGGACTGTGATCAATCGAAGGATTGACTTAGGTACCTATGAATTGACCTTTTTGGTCAGACTTGCTGGTGAAATGTATCTGGTATATAATTAACTGACTGTTATCCCAGAATATAAATCAAATAATTATATTTAAAAATAAACAAATCACAATATATTTGTGATAATAAATTAAACTCTATAAATATGTGATTCTCATTTTATCACGCGGCAATCTGTATCCGGAACTGCAATGCAGCCTGTACTAGCTGATAAGTAGCTATCTGTAGGTGATTTTTTTTAATCTATCGAGTATTTTTCCGTTTATTGAGTATAAACAAACATTGCAAAAAATATTGAAAATGGAAACATTTTCAATATAATTTGTATAATTTGTATAAAAAACATCTATCAAAAAGAGCAACACACAAGTTTCTTGCTCATTCTTCTTGTGATGAATCTGCAGTCCGAATGAGTGGTAGAATCAAAATGTGACTATTCAACCGTGCTTGTAATGAGTTTATTTGAATAAAGATTATTTCTATTTCTATTGTGTAATACTCGATTCACTCTATTGTAAATACTATAAATAAATTAATATTTTAAATAATTGTGTGTGTGTTTCTAAATTAAGTTTCAACGACATAAGGTTAGTAATTTAAACTTCCATTTTCAGGTAGTCGTCTAGGCCTCATGCAAGCCATGGCTGGGCTGGCAGCAGTACTATCCAAGTTCACAGTGAAACCAGCACCGGAGTCCAGGCTGCAGCCGATAATAGACCCTAAGTCTGAAATAGTGCAAGGTGTAGAGGGAGGCCTACCTTTAATGTTTTATAAAAGAAACGAGTCTATATGAAATAATTTTTAAAGAGGTCATAAAATTTTATACTATTTCTAGTTATGTTTAAAATATATACATATATCTTATATAGGAAACGAATCTATATGAAATAATTTTAATGAGATTATAATATTTGATACTATTTCTACTTATGTTTAAAATATAAACATATATATCTTATAAATGAAACGAATATATATGAAATAATTTTTAGTGGATGGAAGATGTACTGAAGTTAGCATTCAAAAGTAACAAATTTATTTTGGTATGTGGGGATTTCAATATAGATCTTCTTGTTGATAGTCCTATAAGTAATAAAATTAGAAACCTTTTTAAAAGTTTTGATCTTGACCATATTTTCTTTGAACCTACAAGGATTACGGCCACTACAGCAACATGTATTGATAATATATATTGTAATTTTAGTATTTTAAATAAATCTATAATAAATACATTGCCGTCAGACCATTGCGGACAAATAGCAACATTCGCATGTAATGAAAAAAACGAGATTATATATAAGTTCTACAGACCAACAACAGCATTTAAATTACAGAAATTTAAAATCAAATTAAATGAAAGTTTACAGTTTTTAAAATTTGACAATATTGATCCAAATATATCATATAGTCGTTTTTTCAATATAATAAAAACGCATTTTGATAAAAATTTTACAGTAAAGAAATTTAAAGTCCATAATTCTAAGTATGCTGTATGGTCAACGTTAGGTATTTATATAAGTAGGAAAAATATGTATCAACTATATGATATTAGGTCCTATTTGCGTGATCCTATATTCGACGAATATGTTAAAAACTATTCAAAGATATTCAAGAAAGTATGTAAGGCTGCAAAGGCACTTCATTTAAAAAATAAAATAAAGTCTTCTAAAAATAAAATAAAAGCTACCTGGAATATAATAAATACGGAAACAGGTAACACTAAGTCGCGACAGTTAGAATATGAGGTAAAAGCAGAAAATGGCGTCGTTATTGATAAAAATGAACTTGTTGCTCAAACTTTTGATAATTTCTTTTCCACAATACCTCTCAAAGCTACGGAAAGGTTAAACTCGTCACCTAGTCTAGCAGAAACATTATTAAAAAATACTGTAAGTCCATGCGTTTATGACTTTCATTTTCACCATATCAGCTGCTCCTGTATAATAAAAACATTCAACGCTCTCAATCTAAAGGGCACTGAGGATATCTGGGGTATGTCAGTTAGAGTAATAAAAACAGTAATAAACGAAGTTGCTTCACATTTAACTGAAATATTTAATATGAGCATTGATCAAGGTATCTTTCCAGATCTAATGAAAGTGAGTAAAATAATACCGCTATTTAAATCTGGTGACAAAGACAATATATCAAATTTTAGACCTATTTCAATTTTGCCAGTATTTAGTAAGATTTTTGAAAAGATATTACTTACACAAATGTTAGCTCATTTTAATACACATGATTTACTTCATAAACAGCAATTTGGATTTACGAGAGGACGGTCTACCACTGATGCAAGCATTAACTTAGTACAAAGTATTTTTGGTGCCTGGGAAGATTCACAGGATGCCATTGGTGTCTTCTGTGATCTCTCAAAAGCGTTTGATTGCGTCGACCATAGGACTTTATTGATTAAACTAGAACATTACGGAATTAGAGAAAAGTCCTTAGAACTCATTGGATCATATCTGTGCGATAGAATTCAAGTAGTAGACATTAAAGGAAGCAAATCTAAGGGGTCATATATAAAAATGGGTGTACCCCAGGGTTCTGTCCTCGGCCCATTTCTTTTTCTTGTTTACATAAACGACTTACCATACCAGTTTCAAAACATACTTGACATAGTACTGTTTGCTGATGACACATCACTTATTTTCAATGTGAAAAGAAATACACAGGATTTAAATATGTTCTTAACTGGTTTACATCAAATAATCTAGCGCTTAATTCATTGAAAACAAAATGTGTTAAATTCTCTTTACAAAATGTAAAACAAGTAATGACACATGTTAGTCTGAATGATCATGTTTTGGACTTTGTTGATGAGACTTCTTTTCTTGGTATTGTAATAGATAATAAATTGCAGTGGGGACCACATATATTCACACTGGCCAAAAGACTTAGCTCGGCTGCTTTTGCTATCAGAAAAATTAGACAGTTAACTGATACTGCAACAGCGAAGCTAGTGTATTTTAGTTACTTCCATAGTATAATGTCGTATGGTATTATATTGTGGGGCAGGGCGGCTGATGTAGAATCAATTTTTATATTACAAAAAAGAGCAGTTCGTTAAATATATAATTTACCGTGCCGCGAATCTCTTAGAGAACGCTTTAAAGAAACAGGTATCCTTACTGTTCCCTCTCAATATATATATGAAAATATAATGTACGTTCGTAAAAACTTAAATTTATTTACAAAGAATAGTCACTTACACGGTTTTAATACAAGGAATAAAAATAAATTAAATATGCCTAGTTTTCGTCTCAAAAAAGTAAGTACATCTTTCATGGGACATTGTATACGTTTTTATAATAAATTGCCCGATAATGTTTTGAATTTAAATGAAGGGAAATTTAAGATACATGTAAAAAATACACTTTGCGCTAAAGCTTATTACAAAATAAACGACTACTTGAATGACTACAATGCGTGGACTTAATTACAATTTTAACTTTTGTTATGAGGTATATAACTTTCTCATTGACATAGATAATATAATAAACACTAAAGAAACTTATCCTAAATTTAGTAATGACATATTGTAATTTAAATATTGTAATAAACTGTAATTGGTACAGTTGAAGAAGGTGAAAACTGTGATTGGTACAGTTTATGCTGTAAATAATATAAATGACGTAGTGGAGTAACTTGAAACAGTCATGCTCGCTATAAAGTTCAAACTTGTGGCGGCGTGGTGGGCCGGGTCGATGTGCTCCCTCTAATATGGTTGAGTGCAATGATGGCTGGCTCATCCGTCATACTCGTGTACGGGTGCTGCTTGTGGGGACTGGTCTGTTCAGGTTGCGAACACTGATTAGATTTTTTGATTTTTTTTATTTTTTTTATATAGCATATGCTGGTGGTCACTCTATTTTCCCAAATTTGAATTTAAATGAAATCGTATTATTGTAAATATGTACAACATTAAAAAAAAATACGAGCTGAGTTTCTTGTCAGTTCTTCTCATCTCGAAATCATTCCGAACTGACGGTAGATTTGACATATCATAGGAGTCTGTAATGGACCTACATGAATAAAGATATTTTGAATTTGAATTTGAATTTGAGTGAGATCATAAAATTTGATACTATTTCTTGATTTATTGATCTATTAGGAGTAGAATTATCTATGTATTAATACGTGAAGCCAAATCTTTGTATTCAAGAAACTTAGCTTCATAATCGTTGTGGTTTTAAACATTTAAACATACATAGGGACGGACAGACAGTGACTTTGTTTTATATAATGAAATGATATAGAGAAGGAGTGCAGAATGCTGATATCTCCTTGAAATTATACAAAAAAATATACATTACATCAATAACATTGGAGTGCTTTCGAGCTAAGAAGAAATGAGAAGGAACTCAGCTGTTATTGTCTTCAAATGAGCTTGTATATGACTACAAAAAAACAACTTAATTTTTAAATACTAACATTAAGTATAATATACTGACCAACAGCATATGCTATTGCAATCAAAACGAAATAGTCTAATCATCGAACAGAGCAAGCACTCGTTCACGAGTATGACGGATTACGAAAAGATATGAATTAATTAACTTAATGGAATGACATCACAGTATTTCGATTGTACAGTGCATTTATCTTTATGTGTGGTTGAATTGATAACCTCTCCTTTATTGATGTCGGTTAAAATGACTGATGACTTATGAAGACATCGTTTATCAAATATATACATACCTACGTGTGATAAACACATATCTTTTCAGACCATATATATGTATATATACTAGCTGTACCCGCGACTTCATTCGCAGTGAACATTTGAATTCTTCTTAATGTTATTTTATGTATATTTATGTATATATAAATAAAATTGGATTGTCTGTTTGTAATATTGAAATAACCGTTTTTTACTACATGCATATGAATATACATACAGTACATACACGAAAATGACATTATTTATAATTTTTGTCTGTCCGCCTGTTTGTCCTGGCCAATCTCTGAAATGGCTGGACCGATTTTGCGGGACTTATTTTGGCACCTTTGGGTACTTTTATTGTAGAAAAATAAAGTTAAATTCATAGAAATAGACATAGAAATAATCTTTATTCAAATAAACTCATTACAAGCACTTTTGAATAGTCATATTTTGATTTTACTACTCATTCGGAACGCAGACTCATCACAAGAAGAATGAGCAAGAAACTTGTGTGCTGCTCTTTTGAATAGATGTTTTTTTTATTCATAACAAAATGTGTTTAACTTTGTCTAGTTATTATAAAAAGATAATCCCGGTCATAGTTTATAATTATATGTAACACAGATAATAATAATAAAGATAATTTTTTTTATATTTTAATTTGTTAATGTATTTTATTTTTCTATACTATTACCACAGATAACATAATATTACAAAGAGAAAGGATTTTGTCACGACGAAAGTCAAAGGAAAGTAGACTCCGAAATCATTGCACCGATTTCAGCAATTTTTTTACAGTTTGGAAGGTATATTATTCCAGCTTTTGCCCGCGACTTTGCTCGCGTTAATTTATCCCCTTAGGGGTGAAATTTATCTAAATCCTTTCTTAGAGGATGCCTACGTCGTAGTAGGTTTATGCATGCAAAGTCTCAGCCCGATCGGTTTAAAATTGACAAAGTTTCATACAAACTTTTATCCCCTTGGGGGTAGAATTAATCAAAATCCTTTCTTATCGGATGCCTACGTCATAACATCTACCTGCATGCCAAATTTCAGCCCGATCCGTCCAGTGGTTTGAGCTGTGCGTTGATAGATCATTACGTCAGTCACCTTTGAGTTATATA